AGCGGGGCGGGGGCCGGGCTGCCGTGCCCCGGACACCGGGCAGAGCGCGGGGCCGGCGCCCACCGCCCCCTTTTTGCTTTTCTTTTTTTTTTTTTTTTTTTTTCCCGAGTTGCTCTTCTTCCTGCCTTCGTTGTTTTTTTTTTTTTTTTTATGATTTTGAAGCCTTTCCGAGGCAGCCGGAGTCTGACAAGAGCCCACCTATTGACAGAACGGGGAAGACATGATGGGGGTGTGTTACTCACTACCAGCCGCAGCCTCCCGCTCCTTGCTTCCCAGCCCCGGCAAGAGAATTCCCCGGGCCCTTTGTGGCAGAAATGCCCAATTTTTTGGTTTTTTTTGAAAGGCCGGTTCTGTCTCTCCTGCCCCAGGCAGGTTGTTGGCTGTGGAGAGAATGAGCAGATCTTTGCCCGTATTTTGCCCGGTTGAAGACCAGTTGCTTTGCTTTCCTGTTGCTGGCAGTAGCAGAGTTTGCCAAAATGCACGTAAAAATGCAGTTTTCTGGTGTCTTTGCGGCCGGGTGCCGGTGTTTTCTGTTGGGTGCCGTGAAGTGGAGCTCGTCGCCCGCAGCTGAGCCGGAGTCCTTCCTGGGCTGCAGCGCTCCAGCGACTGGGATGTGGGGGGAGAGGGGTGGCATTGGTGCACACGGAGCTGGTTCTGGGGTCGCTTTTGAGGGTTTTACCCGGGGCTGCCCACCAGCCGCCCCTTGGTCCCGGTGTTTGCCTGGCTGCGGTGTGGGATACCGGTAGGGTTTTGAGTTTGCAATAGACGAGGTTCGGTGAAATTCACTGGGTGCCCTTGGAAGGAGTGGGTGTGTGAGGGGGGCTGGCTGGGCGCAGGGATGGGTGAGAGCCGGGTGAGCAGCCCGGCCGCAGGGCTAACACCTCCCTGGGTGCTGGCGGGGGCAGGCCAGGGGCTTGCTTTCTAGTCTCTTCTTTTTTTTTTTTCCTAGGATGCCGTTGGGTTGTTTTGGGTCCTTTTTAATTCCAGTTGTCTTAAAGTCTATTTTTGCATCTCAGAAGACCCCTCTAAAGCAGCTTTGGGGGATCTTTGTGCCCTTATAGCATCTTTGCGTTACACTAAAATACCTTGGATAGGTTCTAGGTGCTGGCCGCTGGTGGAGATGGGGACTCGGGGGTCTCAGGGAGAGGACTTCTTCCATCAGTTTTGATCTGGTCACTAAAGACTCATGTCTAACAATGTTCCCACATGCAGTGGGTGTGATGATGCGGGTTCTGTGTAGCAGGGTGTGTAGGTGAGGTTGACCTGGCCCCTCATGGGCAGGGAAGGGGCAGAGCCGGGGTGCTGCTCCCCCTTGCAGCCCGTGCCCGGGCTCTGGGGCGCTGTTGGGGAGCGGATGCTCTCAGTGGTCGGGTTCGGTTGCCTCCCTGAGCTGGTTTCTTCCCGTTGGTGATGCTCAAGAAACATCTGGAGGACCCAGTTCTGATGCCCGTTGAGCTGTTGTGCAGCGTTACAGCCCCAGCATGGACCTCACCACCTCCTGGTGCACCTGGGGTTCCCTGCTTTGGACCGAGATGTTCTTCTAGAAGGGGCTTCCAGAAGCCCCCTGCTCACCAGGGCCGCCCTGTCCTCTGAGTCTGCCTGATGCTCGCCCCCTTCCCTTCCGCAGGGCTGAGGGTGAAGCCTGAGCCAGGCACAGTCTCCAGTCGAGAGGACCTTCTGTGGTGGGAACAAACTCAGAGTGCAGGCTGTGGGTCCAGGAGCCCGTGGTGCTCAGGAAAGAGCTCTCTCGTATTGTTACGTACTGCTTCTACTCTGCCTTCTGAGTTTTGGGAGCTCTGGGTGGCGTGCTGCGTTCCGGTGTTCGCTTGTGCGAGTACCTGCTGAAATTGTGTGTTACTGTCAAAGTTTGATGTAAGCAGGCAGTAGAAGCCCGTGGCGAGCGTCAAGCTGGGTCTTTCTTCCTCTCCTTGGCCCCTGTGTGGTCCGTAGCCTCATCTCTCTCCTGACAGGTCCCTGGTTCTGGGGTCCCTGGTTCTGAGCTGCTTGCTCCCGGGTTCTGGTGGCTTTGGTGGCAGCACCCTCGCCTCGTGCTGCAGCTCAGAGTTTCACTGACTGATCTCGAAACTGACTTTGGGGGAGCTGCGTTATGAGACTTGGTTTTGTCACCGCAAGAGCTGGGGGGTGGATGGGGAGCGGGGACTTTCTGCACAGTAAAGCTGGGACTGGTTGAGACGGCGGCGTTTGTGCTGCGCGTTACCCTTCCCGCTGGATGTGGAGGTTGGGAGCGTGGTGGGTGCACGTTGACAGTTTGCTCCATAAATCTGCCCCAGCCTGAAAGTTGCAGAGAGTGGCGGTTGGGAATGGCACGTGGCGGCGATGGTGGTGTCTCTCCTAATTATGCACGGCTCATCATTCGTGGGGAGGTACCCGTGAGCGGCTGGGCTGCGCGTCGCCGGCCGCCTTGTTTTGGAGCGGAGCTGGCTCCATGTGCTGGGAGGAAGGAGTGGCTTCCCCACCGCCGCCCCCGGCACGCCTGGGCTGGCAGCGCGGAGCCCTCTCTCCTCCACAGGCGCCAAAATCCTCTCTGCCTGAAAATTGCCCCTCCCTGAGCCGTGTTGGGGGCTCTCTGTGAATCTGCCCGGGGGTTTCTCTGCTGAGGGCACAGCTCCTGCATGTGCCTGGGGACGGAGCTGCTTGAGGCAGTGATGGGGCAGAAGGGACATGCGGTGAAGGGGATGCAGGTCCTGGCCCCAGAGATGGGGGGGCTCCTTCACACCTTTTCTCCCTTCCCAAGACTCGGGTGCTCCTTTGTCAGAAGCGTGACAATAAAAGGATGTGTTTTAACCGTGCTGGTGAGTGTCTGCTGTTGGGTCGGTGTTACCTGGTGCCGGAAGCCCTCAGCAGGGCAGGTTTGCAAGGCTTTTGGGCAGAGAGGAGTTGGGGTTCCCCATGAGAGAGCTGTTGCGGGTGGAGGTGGCACCCTCACCTCGCTGGTGACAGGTGGGTCGGGCAGTTGCAGAAGCAGCAGCAGCATCGCACTGACCAGTCTGCTCCAGGGGCTTTTCCCTCCAGCTGGAGATCCGCCGGGACAGACCCTGCCGTGACACCTTGCTGTGCTGTCACCAGGGCGCTGAGCTGCAGGTTCCACTGTGCCGCACTGGGAGGAAACCAGGGAAGAGACCACATCGCTCTTTGAGTCAGTAGCTCCTTCTCCGCCTCTTCTGCCTCCCAAGGGTGTCCCCACTGGGGCTGCCTCCTCGTGGGATGGTGCCAGTGGCTTCCACGAGTTCCCACGGCACTTTTCTCCCCAGCAAGGGGACACGCTGGCCACTGGTTTCCCTGCTGCGGTGCCAGCGCTTGCTGTCCACACTGCTGGTGGCAGCGAGAACTAAGTGGAGAAGGTGCTGTCTCACGTGAAGCCAAGCTGGGAGAAGGAGGTGATTTGTCTGGGTTTCAGCTGGGTTTGATCTCAGGGGACAGAACCAGGAGCGTTCCTGCAGAGGGACATTTTGCTGGCCCAGGTCACAGACCAGCAGAGATTTGTCACTCCAGCAGAGTCATCTCCTTCTCGACCAGCCCTGTAGCTCCTGAGGGAACTGTGTCTGGCACTTATTGGAAGGTGTCCCCATCCCCTCCGGTCTCTTGTGAGGTCCAGGCTGGTCTGTGGTGAGGTGTTAGTGCAGGGCAGACTGGGAGTTGCTGGTGAGATGCTTCGTTTCGCGTCTCTCTCCAGCATTGATGGTGGCTGGGCATGACTTTGGGAAGGAGGGTGGGTCCTTGTGAGCTATTCGGATGTGATGCTTCCCTGGCATTGAATCCCCTCCATTGGATTGAGAGGGTTGTGTGGCCACACAACGGAACCCTCTGGGCTTAGAGTCCCCTCCGTGCCGTCTCGTGCGCCCACAGCAGGTGACTCCTTGGACCTGGAGGTCCAGGGAGCCACAACATTCCCATGGAGGGGTGACTTCTTCCCCCCAGCCAAGCTACAGGCGCAGTGTGACTGTACTAACAGTTCTGTGCTTTGCTGGGCGGTGTGTGTTTCTTTGGGAGCAAGAGGTGAGTTTGCCCCCACAAAAAGTTTTTTGGGCACGGCCTGTGTGTGCAGGGGGGTCTGGAGTCCTGCCCCCGCTGCTGGGGTGCCCCGGGCGGCTCTCTCAGTTGTGTCTGCTGTTACGTACCGACACTCTCTGAATTCCTTCCTCTTCCCAGCTGTCCCAGTCTGGCTGAAGCCTTGCTTTCCAAACATCCTTTATGGGACTGGGAGGAGAGAGATTTCATTCCCAGGAGCAGTGTGTGGTGGTGGTCTCTTAGCTGTGGTGTAGGAGCTTTGGGCTGGCTTTCCCCTCCCCAGGCACGAGCTGCCTCTTCCTCAGTACTGATTCAGCTGGCCTTCCTCAGAGGCAGCGCTGAAGCTTCTCATGATCAGAAGGAGAGTGTTTCAGGTGTTCCGAAAAGCCTCCCTCTTCCTTCAGAGGGGAAATTGTAAATTGGAGCTTCTCATCCAGGATGGAGCCGGGACTCCAAGGGGAGCAGAGACTGGCTGTGTTGCTGGTGGGCTGCTGTTAGTCTGCTCTGCCACTCTCCGTTTGGCCAAATAGCCAGAGACCAGCTGTTCTGTTACTTCCTGACACTGGATATTCCCACTTTCCTTCCAGCAAGCCTAATCTGCACTGTCAGTAATGCCATCAGAATGAGCGCTCTCGGCACTGGAGCCCCGTCTTGCTCTTTCTAACCCCAAAATCAGGTGGTATCCCAGAGACTCTGAGAGCCGCAGCCCTCATCAGGGTTGTATTCTGGTAGCTGGGTCCAGCTGCACCACCCACACGGCTGTGTCTGCCCCTGCTCTGCACTGGGAGCTGTTCCGTGCCCTCGGGACGTGCCGTGAGGATCTGTGCTGTCTCCAGGGAAGCCCCAGTGGAGTCTGCGTCACTCCCGTTAGAGCTTCTGTCTAATTAAAGGCTAAAGGGACAAGCGGACCCTCTGCCAGTTGGTATATGATGGTAACCCCAAGAGCTCCACCGCTTCTTAGCGACACTGCATCCAGGCACTCACTTGGGAAGCAACTCCCTCATCTCGTGTCTCTCATCTTCCTCATCTCCCTCCACTGCCGACAGGAGTGCAGAGCGTGCCTGGTGTTACCTCAGGGCTGCTCGTTGCCACCCCCGTGGATGGTTCCTGCGCTGGAAGAGGAGTCTGGTAGACGTTGTGCCATAGTTCCTCATCAGGCTTCTGAAGGAGCTGCTGAGAATAGCTGCTTCTTCCCAAGGGATGAGGCGCTGTGTAATTAGGGCCAAGCCCAAGGTGGTGACCAGGAAGCGAAGTGAAGCCTTCTCCAGGTCACTCCGTTGTAGAATGAAATCAACCTGCGCAGGAGCGGGTTGGAACAGCTTGGATGACCATCCCGTGCAGCTTCCTGGGCCCGTGGTGGTGCGGGTTGTACTGTTGTTCCTCAGAAAGAGATGGGGACATCAGGCAGTACCTCTGGAATAGTTCCTCATTGGAAGGAGGATTTTCCTCCAAGGTCCTTGGTTGGAAATACTGTGAAAAGTAGTTTTGCCCAAAGATGCTGTAATAGAGATTTGCTCTTTGCAGCTTTGCTGTCCTCACAGGAGCCGGGTTCCCTCAGGAAAAGCCTTTCCTCTCGGCTTTGGGCTGAAACCAGCTGAGGTGAGGTGGGCTGTTGGGGGGAGATGTTCGGGGAAGCTGCTCCGTGGAGAGGCGGCCCCTCGCCTGCCAGTTGGGCTTCGTGCCTTGCACCGAGACGAGTCTCCCCTCCTCCTTTTATGCATCATCCCCCCTGACCTTTTCTGTGTGCTATTATTCTTTCTCAGGTAAATGAGGTCACATTCAAAATCATTATGGTTTTTAATCACTCTCCATCTGTCGTGCTTTGGAGTCACTTGGGAGAGACTGGAGGGAAGCTCTTCCCGCTTCACTTGTGCCAAACTGCATTGGGAGGTGCCATGGCCAAGGAGGTGGCTTTGACTGGCCAGCGTGGGCTAGGACTTGGTGGCCTTCTCCATTCTCTCCACCGAGTTGCCTGCCCGGGTGGTGGGAGTACCTGCTTTGGGGTCACTGATGTGCTCCTGAGTGTTACCCAGCAAACAAGTGGCGTGTGGGTCGTGCCGCCTGTGGTTGTGAATGAAGCCAAAGGGATGGTTTCATGCAGAGCCTTGTTCCCATGGCCGCTGCTGGTGACTGCTTGGGAGGGAAGGAGAGGAAAAGGGTCATTCTCAGGATATCGGGCCAAGGGCAGAAGGAGGGTGTTCCACTGGGAAAGGAAGGTAACGGAGGGGGTAGAAATAATGCCGGTTCCAGGGGAAGTTGCACATCCCTTTGTTTTCACAGAGAGCCCCAAGAGGCAAGGGGTGGCTGGAGCCACGCGGTGGGTTCTCCAGTGCCTCGGAATCGTTGCAAACCTCTCCTAGACCAAAAATCGGACCAGGGTCTGACATCAGGTCACAGCTTTAAGTGCTTGTTCTCTGTTCCTGAGGTCTGACAGCACAGTCAGCCCCTTCCCAGCTCCGGTGTCAGCCGGGAGGAGCTTGGCAGGTGTTGGCCAACAGCAAGAATTCACACCCCTGTAAGTGGGGCGCCAGGGACTGGGTTTGGTGTGGATCACTCTGAAATTGCCGCTCTGGGCAGAGACAGACTCTGGCTCATCTGGTCAGTCAGCCTCTGGGTCAGCTGCTCTTCCTGAGGTGAGTTAGGTTGGTTGGTTGGTGTTTCCAGTGCTGTGTTGGGAGGGTGACCGGTCCTTGGAGCCCAGCGCTGGCACTGTGGTGGGGGCTCTGCCTTGGCTGGGCTGCAGCCCTGGGGCTCAGGGGGCGCAGCCGGTGGCTGCCCCTGCTCAGAGCCCTTCCCGCCAGCTAACGAGCAGGGGAGCTGCTTAATGAGAGCTGGAGACTTGGAAATGAACTGTTCCATGGAAAGAAATTGCTGCTGGCTCTGCTCAGCCCCGCTACGAGGGGCTGTACCCACCGTAGGAGCCTTCCGCTGGGGGCAGGCTCCGTGTCCCTGTTACTGCCCTGTCTCCGTAGCCAGCGCACGCACATGGCTGCGTGTTTAAAACGCAGCAGGTTTGTGTTTTGGGAGGCTCAGGAGGAGGGAATCGCATGGGGGCAGCAGCTGTTCCCTCTGCAGCTCCAAACCCGTTATTTTCCTGCTGGTGTTCTCCATGTTTGGAGCATTTCAGCCCAGGTCTGTCCCCGGCCGTGCGGCGCAGAGGTGTGTGCACCCGCACAGCCCACCTGTGGGCAGCGGCCGCCTCTCGCTCTGGCTTCATTGCTGGACAGTTGAGGCTGAGAAGGGGGAGCTTTCCCCTTCCAGGAAAGGGTCTACCTGGTGCAAGATTCCTCAGGTAGAAATAACACCTTTGGGCCTAATTTTTCTTCCTTTTCCATTGCTTTATCGTTGTTTTTCCTGGTTCTCTGGGTGTTGCTGGTGGAACCGCAGAGAGCAGACAGGCGGCTGGGCGTGAGGAAGGGCAGGACCCTCCTCTCCATCACCTGCAGGTGTGTGTGCTGTGGGTGTGAGCTGCAGCCTCAGCCTCGACGCGTCTGGTCCCACTCGCTGGAGCGTTGTTTGTGTTGGGAGCGTGACCAGCCGCCTGGTCAGCGCGTTTACTCTGCTCCTGTGGTCCAGCACCGAGGCTCATCCAACAGGAACCAAGTACAATGTTCGGAGAAACGGTTTGCTTAACAACCCCGCTGCTTTTTGTCACCTCACGGCTTTCCTGCAGGTGCCTGTCTTGGTGCACAGGGTTTAGTTTCAGTAACTGGTTTCAGTAGCCAGGACTTTCTTCCTGGCCCGTCCTGTGGGCAGATGAATCGGAGATTTCACGTAGAAAGCACAAGGTGGAAAAAAGGTGCTGTTTTGAGTGAGTCTTTTATCAGGCCTGAGCTGCATGGGGAAGCGGGGTTATTCCATGCACAGGTCACCTTCTCCCGGTCAGTGTGGCACCTTTGGGACTTCAGGATTCTCTTCTCGTGGTGCTGCCTCTCCCCAGGGCTCCGTGCAGGCTCCTGCTCCCAGCACAGGCCATGGTGCTTGGTAGAGACAAGCAACAAGTGCCATCGCGGGGAAAAGTTAAGGCTGGAGAACAGAAAGACCTGAGGGGAAATCGGGCTGGGAGACCTGGAACATAGAATCATGGAATCATAGAATTGTCTGGGTTGGAAGGGACCTTTCATCTAGTCCAACCATCAACCTAACCCTGATAAAGCCCATCACTAACCCGTGTCACTAAGTGCTGTGTCAACCTGCCTTTTGAATACCTCCCAGGATGGTGCTTCAACCACTGCCCTGGGCAGAAGGTAGGAACAAAGATGTGTCACTCATTTTGGTGGCAGACAAATAGGATTGAAGGTTCTGCAGACTCCCTGGAAAACCTGCCTTCAGGTGCACAGGGCACCGTTAATGCCATTCCTCTGTTGGGGGAAAGGCAGGTTCTCATCTCTCCTGAAGACAGTCTAATGTGAATTAAAAAAAAATAATGAAACAACCCAACAACAAACCCACCTTTTGGTCAGTTTTCAAGAAGGTTGTCCTTGCCGTTCCGTGGTGTTACCTCCAGGGCTGCTGATGCCATCATTCCTTATGGTGTGACAGTGAGCATGGGCTGTGGTCCCTTGGAAGGAGGGCTTGGTGGTGGCTCTGCTGGACCCCGCAGGAGAGGGGACACCCTTTGGTGACCCCAAGAGGAAGCTGGTGCCACCACTGCGCTGGTCTGTGGTGTTTGTGGTGTTCAGTGTGACAGTGGGTGCCCTGTGGCTGTCGGGGTGCAGGGGCAGTGCCCGCAGCTGGGGGTGACTCTGCCACCCTCAGCACCGTTACTCTGCTGCGACTCGGTCCTTGGCCAGGCTCGGAGGTGGGTTGGTGGTGAGTGTGAACCCCAAGGCCTTGGTGGAGGCAGAATTCCGGACCTTGGGTGCTTCTGCTCATCCAGAGAGGCTTCTGCATGAGCTTGGGGGAAGTTGGTCCAAAACGGAAGCGCTTCTCCTGCTGGAGTGTGGCTTTGGGGGTTTTCGATACCAGTTTATAAAACTAGAGCTCTGTGGTTGGGTACGAGCAGCAGGTTTTGTGCATTAGAGGTTTGTTTCCCACACGCACGTGTCCTTGGTTTCCCCATCACTCTGGTCATCCCGTAGCTGTAACTGCAGCTGCTTCACGTCTCTGTGCACAAGTTCCCTTCCCTTTGCAGCGATCGCTGGCTGGAAGAACAAACCAGTGTGTTGGAGGGACCATCCTCTAGAACCTTTCCACGCTCTGATCATAGCCAGGGTCATTCTCATGTGAACGTCCGCGGCTTCAATTCCCCACCCGCTTTCTCTTTGCAGGATGAACAGTTCCTAGGTTTTGGTTCAGATGAAGAAGTCAAAGTGCGAAGTCCCACACGCTCCCCCACAGGTACGTCCCACTCGCAGGGTAGACGTTGACTCTTTCCTCCTTGGTGAAAGTTTTGCCGTGTCCCTCCTGTTTGTTCCATCAAACCTCATCTGCTGTAAAGGCCACCCCGCTCCTTGGATTCCACTCAGTTTGGGGCAGTTTATCCCTGATCTGTTAGGGAACGGGGAAAGTTTGAGTAAAAGAGTTACAGTGATGTACCCGGGATTTGAAACCTCACGTTAGCGTTTTGGAGAGGCAGTTATTTGAATAGTAAGGGTCTAAGACTGGTTTGAATATTTCAGTATCTTCCAATAGACTCATTATCACCCGTAACTGGAAGCTTCACATTTTTGGAAACACCCCAAATCTCGACCTCTGAGGAGAAGCTGTAGCTCAGCTGTTGTGTTTCCAGCTTTGGAGCTGTAGGGCCTGATCCCCACGGGGCAGTGAGTGAGCTCAGCCGTGGCTGGGGTCCTGGTCAGTAAAGGCTCTCGGTGCACCCCTCTGCCCATCCCCACCGTCCCCGGGCCAGGGGGCTTCCAGGAGGGACACGGAGCCTTGTCACAGCTCGAGAGGACCCAGATGGGGAGTAGCTGGGTTTGCTGGCCTTACTGGCCTGTCCCTCCGCAGGGTGGGTGGGTGTCACTGCAGGAGGACTGTGTTTTTCCTCTCAGCTACCTGTGATCTGCATAAAACACAAAACCCAACATCTTTGGCTGTGTTTGGAAGGTGGCACGTGCCTTCAGAGTTATTTACCCACTCAGCATCAAGTTGTTGGTGGGTTTATGCCATTGCACACGTAGTTGGTGTGAAAAGCCTTGTGGTTTTCAAAAAATTATCTACTTCATGTGGGAGAAGAGGTTTGTTGGGAGGGAACTCTACGTCTAATGATCAAACTGGTTTTATTTGTTGATTACCTGGAATGTCTTGGGAACGTGCCCAGGCGGTGTGAGTGATGCTGGGTGACTGCTTGGGTGACCTGGGTAACGCTGACCCAACACTGGGAGATGTTTCACGTGTGTGTTCTCTGCTCCCACCAGTTAAATCCAGCCCGCGGAAGCCTCGCGGGAGGCCCCGGAGCAGCTCTGACCGGAGCTCGGCCGTGCTCTCAGACTCCTCGTCCGTGTGCTCCCCCTCCAGCAAGTCTGAGACCACGTCCATGGAGAAGGTGAAGAAGAAGGAGCTGAAGAGTGGGGAGAAGAGGCGAGGGAGGCCCCCGACACTCACCAGCGTGAAGTTCAAACTCTCACAAGTAAAGGACACCTCGGACAGCCAGAAGGGCAGTAAAGAAGAAAAAGAGAGTCTGAAGAAAATCAAGAGGTCACCATCCACTACATTTCAGCAAGCAACTAAAATCAAGAAATTAAGAACTAGTAAGCTCTCCCCCCTGAAGTCCAAATTTAAGTCTGGGACGAAACTTCAGATTGGGAGGAAGAGCGTTCAAATGGTGCGCCGGAGAGGGAGGCCGCCCTCCTCCGAGCGCGTGAAGCCTTCCTCCGCCTTAGTCATGAACTCGCAGCTGGAGAAGCCCCAGCGGGTGCGCAAAGAGAAGGACGGCACGCCGCCGCTCAGCAAGGAGGAGAAGGCTGCAGTCAGGCAGAGCCCGCGCAGGATCAAGCCCGTTCGGATCATACCTTCCACCAAGAGGACGGACGCTGCCATTGCCAAGCAGCTGCTGCAGCGGGCTAAAAAGGGGGCACAGAAAAAGATTGAGAAAGAGGCGGCCAAACTGCAGGGCAGGAAGGGGAGAACCCAGCTCAAGAACATCCGGCAGTTCATCATGCCGGTTGTGAGCGCTATCTCCTCCCGGATTATCAAAACTCCCAAACGGTTCATTGAGGACGAGGATTACGATCCTCCCATCAAAATATCCAGACTGGAATCCACCCCGAACAGCAGGTTCAGCGCCACATCCTGCGGCTCCAGCGAGAAGTCCAGCGCTGCCTCCCAGCACTCCTCCCAGATGTCCTCCGACTCCTCGCGCTCCAGCAGCCCCAGCGTGGACACCTCCTCCGACTCCCAGGCTTCTGAGGAGATGCAGGCGCTCTCCGAGGAGCGCAGCAACACCCCCGAAGTTCACACGCCGCTGCCCGTTCCCCAGTCCCCCGAGAACGACGCCGGCGACCGGCGCAACAGAAGGTTTTCCATAACGGAGCGCAGCTTTGGGCAGAGGACGGCTAAGAAGCTGTCAGCCCTGCCCAGCGTGCCACCGCAGCAGCCCTCCTCCTCCTCCCCCCCTCCTCCCCTGCTGACCCCCCC